ACGATTGAGTCAGATTTGACCCAGTAACATGCAACCACATTGTTCTACAGAGTGTTCCAGAGCTCAAAAACAGAATTGAGCCTTAGTTGCCCAAACAGGTAACCTTCTCTATAACACTTTTTAATGGATTTTCATCTTTTCCCTGAGATTTCTGATAATCAGTAGCTTCCCTACCACTCCCCACCAAAGTGCCCAGTGCCTTCTCCAATTTTTTCATCTCGGTATGTGGCTCTTTCTGGTTAGGTGTAAGGTGATGGGAATTTAGAATAGATGAGTGTCTGAGATCTCAGTCCTCCATAAATAATGGTGAAGACGCTCAGCCTTGCTCTTCTGGTAACAACCAGATGACCACAGACAGGTCAGCGTCTCAATTTCCAAACATGTAGAAAAAGGGAGCTAGTTGTTCAATAGCCTGCAGGCACCTTCCTGCTATATCAGTCTTTGACTGAATGAATTAGCTCTTAAGTGATTACAAGTTTTAATCCATTCCCTTAGTTTACTTCACTCAGTGAAGTCATCTGCTTCCTCGGGGGTTTGTTACAGACTGCAGTAATGCCCATCAGCACCACTCAAGGGTGGAAGAGACAAGAGGTTCAAAGATTCAAGGTAGAAAATGCTAGAATCTGCTTCCTTCATGCGCAGCCAGCCTTGGCAAAAGCAGGCTTGGGCTTCTACCCATTTCTATCAACATCCGTCTCCAACACATCTGTCTTGTCTGAAGGAAAAACAAACAGCAATCAACAATTCTGAGAAGAATGCTAAGAAGGATTATTTTGATCACAGACAGACTCAGAAATATCTTTGCTCCTTAATCCTTTGAATAAATCATTCATGGAATGCATGTGTTTAAGGGAATTGAATGCTTTCTTCTTATTTTTCTGGAACCCCCCACTTCTGACCATCTCTAAAGTCTGGTAATAAACAAAGTCATATGGCTAAGTGATTAGAGGAATGCCCTTATATGTCTATTACATTTGCTTTAGAAAAATTCATTAATAAATAAACATGTTCCAAAAATAAGCCAAATAAAGCAAAGATAATGAGATTCACTTTTAACCAGTCAATACTTAGAAAAAGTGATGACTTTCCAGGGGATTTAAAGTTTCTCAAATGCTTCCTAAATCTTCTCCTTCACCTACTTTTATCCATGTCTATTTTCTTTTAATTAAAAATGTACCCTTTTACAATCCATAGTCAATTCTACAGTGTTAATAAACAACGTTAGAAAAAGAAGATGTTAATGTGAAAAAACAGCAAAGAATCAGGAAAGTGGCTCTTGGGGTCACTGAACTTTTTTAGTGGTTCAAATGATCCGTGGTTGTATCCCTCTGTCTAGTCACGGTTGTATCCCTCTGTCTTTTCTGAGGAGACTGCTTTGCAGGGGGGAACATCTTGGTGTCCTAACACTGCTAGAACAAAATAACACAAAGTGAGTGTTTTGAAAAACAGTAATACGTTATCTCATAGTTCTGGAGGCTGGAAGCTCAAATCGCTATATTGACAATATAGATTACTTCTGAGTGTTCTTGGAGAGAAATGACTCCATCTTTTTCTACTAGCTTTTGATATCTGTGGCAATGATTAACACTCCTTTGCTATATGTAGATGCATCCTCATGGCGCTCCTTCTCCCAACAAATGACTCTCTTTTTGGGTTTGTCCTCTTAAAAACTGCTTTTGTGTTCTCTCTCCCTTGCTCCCTCTCTTTTTCTGCCCTCCCACCTTCCCCCCCCACACACCACCACCCCCCAACACATACACTTAGGTTCAACTTCATTAACTAATAGGACTCAATTTCCCCAGACAAGGTCACATTCACATGCACTTAAGTTGCAACTTCAACTTAGTGGGTTGTTTTTTATAGGGGAGACACAATTCACACATAACCATGGGCAAGGGAAACTTCCTCTTACATACTCTGGGCATGTTGTCAGGAGGGTCCAGTAATTGGAAAATGGCATCATGCTAGAAAAGGTTGAGGGTCAGAGTAAGATAGGAAGACCCCCAGCAAGATGAACTGACACAGTGACTGTAATAACGGGCTTGAACATACCTTTCAGAAATCAGTGAGGATGGTGCAGGACAGACCAAGGTTCACATCTATTGTTCACAGGGTTTCTGTGAGGTGGAGCTGACTTGACAGCATCTAACAACAGCACCAGGGAGCCAAGTATGAAGGGTGGTTTGAAGAATATTAGCAGTGCATTGTACTGCAAAGGCTTGGCCCATTGTCATTGGTCTCTGTGCTGTAGAATCTGGCTCAGAGTAAGCACTTGAATGAATGAGTGAATGAAAGAATGAATGCTGTATTCAAGTCCTGATTGATTAGGGCGCAGACTCACATTTTTGTGTCAAGTAAAATGTAGGCAAAAGTCCAAAGAGGAAGATGGTCCAACTAGACTATAATGATTTAACAGAATATATTCCCTGTACTTTAAGCAGCAAAATGTCCATGGATTTGGAATATTACAGCCTTGAAGTACATTTTATTCTTACAAACTAGTTATGCAACCCTGTATAAGACAATTCATACCCCTGGTACTCAGTTTTACTGACATCTGTCAGGTGGCTATCATAGAAGCAAATTCAAAGAATAGTTGAAGAGTAGTATAAAATATCATATGTAAGTTACCTAGTATACCTCTGAAGATAGCAAGTGTTCAAAATTGTTTGAATTTTCCTAGCCCCGCTGACTGGTAAATTTTAATTCAGATTTCCTTATTACTCAAGTAGAAAAAAATGTTTAACATGCATAAAGCTTCCCCACCCTCCATACTAACTTAACATTTCAAAATGTTAAGGGAACTCTGGTGACCCAGTAGATAAGAGTTGTACTGCCAACTCAAAGGTGGACAGTTCTAATCCACCAGCTGCTTTAAGGGAGAAGGATGGGATCCTATGTGATTGACAGCCTCTGAAAACCTGATGGAGAGTAAGCTATGAATTGGTTCCAACTTGATGGCACATAATAGCAGTAACGACAATACTAAATTAATGAAAGCTGGTAGATATATTAGTTTAGGAGACTTGGTGAGTAGAAGGTGGGAAAAGGAACTGTTGAGAAGTTTAAGAATTTGTTTCTAAAAAAAATAATGTTGGAGACGCTCATTGTCCTTTGGTGCAGACTGGCCTTTGGGGCAAATCCTAAGTGGCCCTTTAAATGTATGGATCCAAGGACACTTTATTCTTATTCTCAGCTGCTTTGAGGTAAATGCTGACCTAATAAAGAGTCCTGTTGTTTCTGATTTGGACAGTTGTTTGGACAAAATCTGACAGAAGACAGAAAGGCACATGTGTCTGATTGTTACTTCCTGCCAGAACAGATTGTGAAAATTACCTGGCCTGGGCTTGGCACAGTTTCAACTTGGGTCAGTGTGTCAACTCTAAAAAATGATGTTAGTAATGAGTAAGGTGAGAGTGTGATCAAACTTTTATGTTCTGATGATTCTGCTGGGGCCAGAAAGCAAAGGCACGCACCCCATGGGTAGGGGTAGGTCTCCCTGAAGGAAGTGGATAGTGAAAGGAGAGGTGAATTCAGGGAAATTCACAGAAAGTAAGGATCTGGATGTGAGACTTTGACTGAAGGCAAAACATTTCTCTCTGTCTCTGCCTCTTAATGCAAGGTTGAACTCTACAGGTCAGAGAGCAGAGAAGTAGATGGTGAGCATCCAGTCATCTCAGCTAGCAGTCCAGGAAACAGGCAGGGTGCTTTGGCCATTTGAGATCCTGAGGACCCTCCCTTGCCTAGAAGATTTGAGTGTAGCAGCCACTCATGGCAACACCTTATGTGTGTTCGAGTAGAATTGTGTTCCACGGGATCTTCAGTGGTTGACTTTTTGGGAAGGAGAGCACCAGGACTTTCTTCCAAGGTACCTGTGAATGAACTCAAGCCTTAATTAAGCCTTTCCGTTAACAGCCAAGTACTTTAATGTTCTGCACCATCCAGGGATTATTGTAATGACTTCTAACAATGCTTTATGTTTGCTGTCTGAGTTGTACTTCCTGCAGTAAAGCTGTGCTACCAGTTGCAGCTTGTCTAAACTCTCCTTGGAAAATCCCCTGGAAGAAGGCATCTCCTAAAGCCCCAGCAATGACATCGTAGTTGGGGGCAGTGAAAGCTGTTGCGTCCAGAGAACTGGCAGGTCACAGTAGGGGCCGTGCCATGAGGAGGGGAGAGAAGATGATGAGCAAGAACCAGAGAATCTTGTTCAAGAATGAGTATCAGAGAGTACCAGGGTTCTTGAGAAGGGTAAAGGATACGTCTGGATAGGTGGAGGCCAGTATCATTTGGATAATAAAGTCTAACCACATCGCATACCCTCAGACTGCTTAGCCTGCATATTTTATTTACACATGAATCATTTCCCTCACCAGTTGACCTGATTAAAATAGTTTCCAACCCAACAAATCTAAAGAGCCAAACCTGAGCAGAATGAAAGGCTGCTGTGTGGAATTACCAGGGCCTGGAATCCCCTATCAGCCCACCCAGCACGCAAAGCCTGATGGTTTGCTTGTGCTGGCTTTTACAAGACTCCAAGTCTCCCTTTGCTGGGAAGTTATGCTTGCCCTTTATCTTGTATTCCAAATGTCCTCCTCCACCTCACTCTCTGCCTACTCCTGGAAAAAAAGCGGGGGGGGGGGGGGGGGGGAGAAAAAGTTTCCCAAAGAAAAACTCTCATGTAAGCATCAGTAGAAGGAATTCTTTCTGGGTTCTGCCTTTTATTATCAAGAATATGAGAGGAAAAACAAATGAGAAATCCAGACTCATCGTATCTATTCACCAGACACAAATTATTTCTTCGTTGTGAATTCAGTCCTGAATTATGCTTCAGTAGCAAAACTGGCCCTGTGGTTTTATTATTCATAGAGAAAGCCCAAAGGGTCTCCCACTCCTCGGTTCACCTAGAAGGAAAGACACTCTGAGGCTCTTCCCCCCTTGCCTAATCAGATTTCCAGATGCCACCCTAGGAAAAGGAGCAGCGCATAACATCGCCGGGAAGCATGTCTAATTCACAAGATAAACAGAAGCTACTGGATAGCAGTGTAGGATCAGTAATAGGGAAGCGGGGGAAAGATAGCCAGGCCCAGTTCTCACAGAGGAAGGGACTCACACCGCTGAACGGGGGAAATAATTGCATTTCACTGAGGCAGGTGCGCTGTGAATGTTTCTCTATTAAATCATCACTAGGATTTAAAGAGCCTGTTTAAGATGGTAAGGCGGCAGATTGATTTAGACGCTATTTATAATTCCTTAACAATGTTTGATGTTTAGCAGCCAGAAAAACAGATCAGGAGAATAGTTCACGAAGGTAAAAAAAAAAAAAAAAAGAGAGAGAGATAGTGAACATTTATTTCTTTCTCTCTGCGGAATGAGGCAGTACAACTGCTATTTATATTTTATCCCCCTGATGCCATAAACAGGTCTTGCCAAAGAATTCATTAAGATGGCCAACAAGCATATGAAGAAATGTTCAAATCTCTAGCTCTAAGAGAGATGAAAATCAAAATAACTATGAGATATCATCTCACCCCAGTCAGAATAGCAAAATTTAACAGAACAGCAAGCAACAAATGCTGGCGAGATTGTGGAGAATCCTTATTCACTGTTGGTGAGAGGATAATATGATGCAATCACTGTGGAAGTCAGTATGGCGCTTTCGCAAAAAGTAGCAAATAGAGTTACCATTTGACCCAGCAATTCCACTACTGGGAATATACCCCAAAGACACCATAACTGACACCCAAGCAGATATATGCATACCCATGTTTATTGCGGCTTTGTTCACAATAGCAAGGAGCTGGAAACAACCTAAGTGCCTATCAATGAACAAATAGATAGAGAAGCTGTGGTATATTCACACAATGGAATACTATGCTGCATTGAAAAAACAAGGAACTCATGCAATATTATTCAAAATGGGTGATCCTGGAGGACATTATGCTGAGTGAAGTATATCAGTCACAAAAGGACAAATACTGCACAGTTCCATTGTTGTAAAACAGGACTTACCTCGGGGTTGGGGGGGAAGACTGAAAAAGATGGGATAAGTAATGTATACTGCATTGAAACAGATGAGGGGGAAAGCTGTTTAAAAGGGATATGTGATTAGGTATTTTTGTTGTGATGGGAGTCCACAGCAAAGGCTGCATAGTGGAGTGGACCTGGGGGAGGGACTGTAAAACAATGAAAGAATTTTTCTTTTACTTTTCAAAGAGGGGAGTGTAGTGTATTGGGGTGGGGGGGAATGGACGGGAAGAAAAGTGCAACAATGAATGAATGGAAATTCAAAGTCTCTGTAAATTTTCATTTGAATTAATAATAAAAAAAAATAAAAAAAAGGATTCTTGCTTATCCAGACAAGGAAAAGAGATAGCCTGAAATAAGCACTTGATCTAAGAATCATGGTACCAGGAGAAGAGCTGTGGTGGCTTAGTGGTAAAAATCTCCTCTTTCATGCAGGAGACCCGGGTTCAACCTCTGGCTAATGCTCCACACTCACTTTCAGGCAGTGTAGAACTGTGTGTTGCTTTGATGTGGCATATGTTTCAGTAGAGATCTGAGACTGCAATAGACTAGGAATAAAGGCCTTGGATCTACTTTCTGTCAGGAAGAAAGGCCTGAGATCTACTGTCCATCAGTGAAATCACCATGGATCACAATGATCTGGCTGACGATAGGGATGGCACAGGCCTGACATTGTTCTTCTGTTCATGCATTTCAGGCCAACTTGGTGGTGACTAATTACAACAATCCAAGAATCAGAGTCAGGACCAGGGTAATGAGCCTAACAGCCTTCAGTCTTACCCTCTTTAACAGAGGTCCCTGAGGTTGGGAAAGAGAGGATCAACTGTCTTCATGCTTTTTTTCTGGTGATCTCTGCCTAGAGTTCTTCACAGAGGGAGGCACAGCTCACGTGTAACCTTGAACTTCCATCACTTAGGAACCTGAAGGCTGAATCACTGGGCCCCAGTTCTAGGCCCTTTGGCACATCCTGTAAAATCCTTTGTTTTTAAATCCTAAACTTGTTCATCTGAAACAAGAGTCTCTGTCATTTCACAAAGTACCTCTATTTTTATCATGACTCTGGTGCAACCAGGGGCTTCCTAGAGGCAAGGAGAGTGAAACTTTGGCTCATATACTTTGGGCATGTTGTCAAGATGGGCCAGTCACTGAAAAAGTGATCCCCAACCAGATGAATTGACACAGTGACTGCAACAAAGGATGAAGGCGCGGTGGAGATCATGAGGATGGCACATGACAGGGCAAGGTTCAGATCTATTGTCCACAGGGTCACTCTGAGTTTGGTCAACTTGATGACACCTAAACAATTGCTATACTTGTTTCAGCTCTATACCTTGGAGAAAGAGATACATTTTTCCATCACTGCTAGAGACAATGAAAAAATCCTTGTCATGATAAATAATCCCTAGGGTGAGGAAAGATAAGGATGCTTTAGGGGAAAATGTGTCCTTGGAGATCAACCACAGAATGTTCAATTCTTACAATTCTAGACTACTCTCCTTCATTTGACAGTAGCCTGCGTATTACATGCACTTAGTGTTTGTTACGGGGTCCCTGCATGGTGCAAAGTTAATGTGCTAGACTTCTAACTGAAAGGTTGGGGATTCAAATCTACCTTAAGGTGCCTTAGAAGAAAGGCCTGGCAATCAGCCAGTGAAAACTCTATGTTGCACAATTCTACTCTGACCCACCAAGGATTACCATGAGTCAGACAAACCCAATAGCAATTAGTAATATTTGTTACACAGAATTGAGTAGGATTGCACCCTCCACCCAAACGCCTCCTTTTGACCAACACCCGCCTTTACTCTCCTTTGTTGTTTTTATTGTTGTTGTGTGCCATTAAGTAGATTACAACTCATAGAGTCCTTAATGAAGAAAATATTGGAATCTTTTCCTGTCCTGTACCATTTTCACGATTTCCAACATTGTTACAGGGGCTGTGTCAGTCTACCTCTTGAAGGTCTTCCTGTCTTTCTCTGATCCTCTGCCTTTCCCAGGATGATGTCTTTTTCCTGCCCCCTAGAGCTAAGAATATAAAAGATGTGCTTCTGAAAAGATTCCACTGGGATGTGAGTTCAGATCACCTAGGTGCAAATTCCACCTTCCTTTGTGAACTTTTTTCCTCACCTTTAAAAGAACAGGGCTATTTTATATTCTCTGACGATCATTTTAACCTAGGCATTCTATACTTCTTTGGTTCAATTAAAAAAAAAAATTCCAAGACTGTAAGAAGATCAATGAAGCAAAAATATAAACATGAGCTGTAGTTGTGTAGTTCATTGCATATTATGCTACTAACTGAAAAAGGTCAGTGGTTCAACTCCATCAGCCGCACCAAGGGAGAATGATGAAGTAGTCTGCTAAAATTACAATTTACAACCTTGGAAACATCACTGATGGCCACCATGAGTTTGAAATCAACTAAAGAACAGTGACTTTGGTTTTGCTAATCAATATTCAAGTATTAGGAAGTTCAATGAAAGCAAAGACCACAGTAAAACATAAAGAAAGAAAAAAGGAGAGATTATCGGTTTCTCTTTGAGTGTCCTGTCAGTATTACTACATTTCAGATCAGGTCCCTGGGTGGCTTGTGCTCCACTTCTTCCTGAAAGATAAGCATTTGGAATCCACCTAAATGACTGCAAGAAAAAAAGGCCTGGGAATCGATCTGCTTCTATAGATTGCTGTCATTCAGTGTCACTGAATTGGTTTGATTCACAGCAACCTCCTGTGGTAGAATTCCTGGTGGCCCAGTTGTTAAAGATGCATGTGTGCTAACCAAATGGTCAACCGTTCAAACCTCCCAAGACATTTGGCTAGAGAAACATGTGGCGATCTGCTGCCAGAAACATATACAGCCTAGGAAATCCTGCCAGGCAGTTCTGTTGAGTCCTACAGAACAGCTAACAGTTGGAATCTACTCTCCAGCAATAGATTTGTCCTTTTCTGTTTGTTGGTTTGGCTCCATGTGACAGAATTTAACTACCCCTTAGGCTTTCCTAGGCCGTAATGTTTATGGGAGCCAGATCTTGCTCCTGTGCAGCTACTGCTGTTGTTGCAAACCAATTTGGCTACAACTCATGGTGATTAATGTACAAAAGAACAAAACTCCAGCTGTCTCTCCTCCATATGACTTCAGAATCTTAGCTATATTTAAACCTATCAGTGCAGTCACTGTGTCAACTCAACCCACTGAGGGTCTTTCCCTCCTTCCCTGACCTTTCAACACATCCAAGGATAAGATCCTTTCCCACTCCTGATAAGAGGCCAAAGTATGTGAGATGAAATTTCACCATCCTTACCTCTAAGGAGAGCTGTGACTGCACTATTTCCAAGGTGGTTTTGGTTCTTTTTGGAAGTTCATGGTATACCCAATACTCTTCTCCAATATTACTATACAAAGGCATCATTCTTCTTCAGTCTTCCTTATTCATTGTACAACTTCCACGTGCATATAAAATAACTGACAATACCATGGTTCAGGTCAGGCACACCTTATTTTTGCTGTGTGCCGTTGAGTTTGAACCAACCCACAGTTGACCCTCCAGCAGGTTTTCAGAGGCAGAAAAACTCATGGGAAGAGAGTGCCCATCCTTCTTCTGAGGAACAGCCGGTGGATTTGAACCATGTGTCTTTGGGATTGTAGTGCAACTTCTTACCACTAGGCCACCAGAGTTCCCTGGGTACACCTTAGTCTTTTACATAACATCCCTCCTCTTTAGCATTTTAAAGTGGTCTTCAGCAGCAGACTTTCCCCAAGCATTATAACATATGGTTCTTGGCTGCTCCATATATGGGTATTGATGGACGCAAGAAAAAGAAAATATTTGAAAATGTCATTCTTTTCTCCATTTATCATGAGAAAAATGTGTCCATTTCTCCAACCTACATCTGGGTAGGTTCAAATTGTCAATCGTCTTTAGCAGCCCAGCACTTAACCATTGCACCAGCAACGGTTCCTTTTCTGTGAGGAATACAGCCAGGAGAACCTTAAGGAGCAGTTCTACTCTGTAACGCATGGGCTCACATCATCATGAGTTGGAATCAACTTGACATTACTAGGTTTAGTCAAGGTTATGTAAATTCAAATGCAATAGTTGCCTTTTTGTAAATAGTAGGTACATCATTTGTATACATATACACAGGTGTGTGTTTTGCCTTGTGTCTTGGGCAGTATTTTTCCCCCATATACCCTCTCATGCAACAAATTAATACACGAGGGCCTCACCAGTGATTGCTTATAGATGAAGCTGCCTTCAGGAGATTTTATTGAAAAAATATTACCGGAAGAGACTCCATGAGTAACTACTAATTCTGATTTCCTTGCTTTAACAAGCACTGCTGAAACTAATCTACATGTATGTCCATTTTTCAGATGAGGAGAGACAATGAGAAGATGAATAATTCAGTAATTTGATTCAGAAGGATATTTGGAAATGCTGAAAGTTATTCTTTATTTAAGCAAACTACCACTGGGTGAATTTTTCACAATATTTGGGCAAATACCTTTCCAGCCTGTCAGAACTAATCCCTAAAGAATCAATGTGTATCATTTTTTGACCAAGGCTTTTAAGAAATGATTCTTATTTTAGGTCCTTTAATGGTTCCTTTTTTACCTATAAAGATCTTTTTGCTTCCTATCTAAGATTAATTCCAACACATATTATCATTTGTGTTGCTATCATCATATCTTATTTCTCATGATTATTTTTGTCTTTTTTCCCTCACTATTGTTGTCTTGATGTAACACACTGCATACTCTATTCACTGCCATCTTACATTTTCTTTTAGTTCAGTTTACCTTTTGAATCTCAGATCAGAATGTGAGTAGTTAAGGTTGAAAATTACAGAAGCTAGACTTGCTGAATTCTAATCCTGGCTTTCCCACCCCTAAGTTAATTCCTGCATATCTTTTATCAAAGTATCTTAAAGGGTTTCATCTCCTTCAAGTTTTGGGATTTTTGTTGTTGTTGTTGTTGTTGTTGTTTATTCTAGGTCTCTTAGTCTACAGGGAGCTGCATTGCTAACTCAATGACCTCTTGGCAGTTCAAATCCACAAGTGGCTCTCAGGGACAAAGATAGACAGTCTCCTCCTGTACAATTTAGTCTCAGAAACCCAATAGAAAGTCAGTTCTGAGTTAATTCTGACTCAACAGAGATGCATTTGAGTTTTTTGTGTCTGCTTCCCTGCAGCTTGTCTCTCATCCTTTGTCTATTTTTATCCCTTCCTGAGGATTTTAAGAGAATGTCTTGATCTGATCTTACATCTCATGTATTTATTCTTCAGCTATATCAATTCTGTGTTTCAGCCATCCACTAAAGCTCTTATTTCAACAATAGTATTTTTCAAAACCCATGTCCCAAATTTGTTCTTGTTGTTCATGTGTCATCTTTTCAATGGTCTCCTTTATCTCACTGATGATACTTATTAATTGTACTTTTCCATTCAATCAGCCTACTGTATTAGAGACTCTCTCAATTATTGTCTTTCTTTCATTATGCTTGTATTCTTCAGCATACCTGGCAACTTTCCCTGACTTTATCCTCTTGGAACTAAGGCTTGTTTTAGACACTAAAGTCTGTGGTTTTCCAAAACAAACTTTTCACATTTTTCCTTCCATTGTGGATTTCTGTCTCAGAACTGTCCATCATTTCTGCTCCTACCGACATGTCACCTAACCTAGATCAATGCTATCAAAAAAGTTGACTAAGTGTCCCTAGCTAGGACTACTCTTTCCTCCTATGAGTTCATAAAAGAAAGATTTAAAAGCATCAATTGGGGCTATATCATCAGCTGCTCTGTAATATCTTCAATTAGTTTATAGGCTCCTTGAGGGGAGATATTTTTTGTCTTATTTGACATGTATAAATCCTACCATCTTAAGCATGATTTTCTATGAGTATTTGATGTTTGGATTCAGACTCAGGAGGGAAAGACTGACCAGGAGTCAAACTAAAAGAGAGCAATTTATAGTTTTGGGGAAATGTTTTAGTTGTCATTAGGTGCCATCGAGTTGAGTACGACTCATAGCAACCCTGGTAACAAAACATCTAACCCCACTCTCCCTGAGGCATTGGCGGCTGCTCCACTGCTCTCCAAGGCTGACTATCTGAAGCACTACTTTTCCTGCGCAGATGTGGCCATAAGCGGGCCCCGAAGCCAGCCGCAAGGGAATGCACATTGTAGATGATGATGTGAATGAATTGGACAGCTATTTCTACCACTACAGTGGAAAAGGAAGAAGGGGAAGATGATGATGATTTTTTTGTGGTTGCTGAGTTTGTGGATGAGTAGCCAGAAGAGGTCAAGCAGATGGAGGATTTTCATTCCAGTACCAAGTAGAAGCTTCTGGGAGGCCAGGCAGATGATCCAACCTCACATAAGCATATCCACCACGATGCTCTGGATTCATCTCCTCCCCGGGAGGTCTGTCACGATACCCTGGATTCATCTCCTCCAAGGAGAGTACATCATGACTCCTCAGATGCTTCACAACTGTGGAAGGTCCGTCATGATTCCCCAGATCCTTCTCCACCCAGGAAGCTTCATAATTCTTCAGATGTGTCTCTTAGGAAAGCTTGTCATGACTAACCTCATCTGTCTCCTCCAAAGAAAGCTGCATCTCCCTCCAAAAGAACTGGTCACCATTCTCCCAGTTTGTCTGCTAATGCTCCTCTTTCACTAGAACTAAAAACAGTAAAGCCCCTGACAGAGTCTCTAGCAGGTCTTCTTCACACTGGACACAGACAGGACCCTCCCATTCTTCAAACCAAAAGAACAGTAAATGTTAATATGCTTCAGAACTCTCTCCTCCATGAAAGAAGCAGGCAAAATCAATTTTAGAATAAGGAGTATGAGTCTAAAGACTCTTCCCCCAAGAAACATCAGAGTCACACCTTGGATTCTTCTTCCTGCCCACATGACAGCTAGAAAGCCTCTGATTCAGATTTTTCTCCTCCAAGGCTTAAACATAATCAAAGACCAGGGCTCCCGGATTCTGGTTCTGATTTATCACCTCCACGGACTAGACCTAGGCATCGGAGCTCAGATTCTGACCTGTCTCCACCAAGAAGGAAACAGAGCACCAAATCTTCTCATTCTGATCTGTCTCCACCTCAAAGGACTTGGCCTCCTAGACAGAAGGCTGCACACATTGTTGTCTGGAGCCAAAATGGGATTGGTATTAACTGATACACAGAAAGAGCAGCAAGAACTCAAGAAGCAGGACCAAGAAACCATGGAATTTGAAGCCGCATTCCAGTGTGCTGAAAATGTGCTTCGAGATAAGTCTGGTCATAAGAAGAACTTGAAACTAGAACATTTGGAACAAAGGCGAAAAGCAGAGAAGGACACAGAGAGAGATGAACTCTATGCCCAGTGGGGGGGAAGGGCTTGCCCAGAGTCGCCAGCAGCAGCAAAATATAGAGGATGCAATGAAGGAGATGCAAAAGCCATTGGCGCGCTACATTGATGATGAAGACTTGGATCAGATGCTGAGCAAACAGGAGAGAGACAGAGACCCCATGGCCAACTTCATTAAAAAGAATAAGGCCAAGGAGAACAAAAATAAGAAAGTGAGACCTTGTTACAATGGTCTGGCACTTCCCAACAGATTCAATATCTGGCCTGGATATTGCTGGGATGAAGTAGATAGATCCAATGTATTTGATCAAATGTATTTGAACAAAAGCACTTTGCCAGACTTGCCAGGCAGTAGAGGAACTCACCTACAAGTGGAGGATATGTAACTTTGCTAAGACTCTAGGGGTAACTCTGGTTGTGGTAGTGGACAGAGAGCCACCAGACGTCCAGCTGTTTTAGCTGTCTGTGCTGAAAATCAGGGCCCACTTAGACTATAACATGTTGAGTGCCAGTTTTGATCCAGAAGAATATTTAGGACTTGCTATTTGGACTTTGGCACCTTTATTTCTCACTAACACTGGCTGTTGCTTTCAGAGGAAGCATTTATTTCTCAATGCCCCAGATTTTATTCTAAGTAAGACTTTTTTCTTTTCTTAGTTAATAAACATATGTTTATTTTTTTAAAAGAAACAAAAAGATCTAACCCAGTCCTTTCATGCGCCATTCTCACTCTTCCTGACACACAAGGACCCATTGCGACAGTCACCAGGTCAATCTCTTTGGTCGAGGATCTTCCTCTCTTTTGCCAGCCCTCTTCTCCAAAGATTTGCCCCACCTAGCAACATGCCCAAAGTATCATCATCATCCTTACCTCCAAAGAGCACTTCAGCTGCACCCTCTCCAAGACATATCTGTTTGTTCTTTTGGCTGTCCATGGGATGTTCAGTGCTCTTCTCCAACATCACAGCTCAAAGGCATCAATTCTTCTTCTGTCATCTGTTTTCTCTATCCAGCTCTCAGATGCATAGCAAGCGATAAAAAAAGACTATGATTTGTATCAGATGCACCTTAGTCCTCAAACTGACATCATTACTCCTCAATAATCTGGAGAGGTCCCTAACTGCAAATTTCTCCAGTGCAATGCATCTACGTATTTCCTGGCTATTAGCACTAGGGGTGTTAATTGGGGATCCCAGCAAGAGAAATTGTTGACAGTTTCATTTCTTCTTCATCCATCATGAAGGTGCCTATCAGTCCAGTGGTAAAAATCTTGGTTTCCTTGACAATGAAATGTAATCCATACATGAATATGAGCAGAGACGGTGTCTGAATTCATTCCTGGGTCTGCAATGGTGCCCAGTCGGGACAGCGGTCACACAGGGTTAAAGTATGTGCTTCCAATCTCATAATAACTAGGTAATAATCAAACCATATCACAATAGAAGGAAGGGAAGTAGAGATTAACATGCACTCCATTCCCTAAACTGCTGACATCAGGTATCACAAGGAAGAAACAACTGAGATAACTGTTTTAGCTGAATTAGTTTGGCTCAGATCTGGTAATTTTTGAGGGCATTTGCAACATGTCATACCCAAGGGAGTCAAAAGTTGTTTTCTGCTTATTTCTTCCATCTCACTTTTCACATCATTTGGAAGACTCTAGCCAGATAGACTGCAGCCCCTTTGTCCTCTTTCTGCTGTCTCAGTATTATGTCTCAGCATAATACCCCAGGGTATTTGGAGCACCATATAATTCTACATTTGGCATCATAACAGCTTCCTTTCTAAAGCCAAATCTGTGAATAGGTACCTGCCTTCTCTTTGGCATCTCATAAGGAGAACATAAAATAGTAATAATTAATTTGCCATCCCCTGGTCTGAATAAAGCAATGCCCTTCTGGAAAATGTTTGTATTTTAAAGAAAGTTGGCTAAGTGTGGAGTAATCTTGACTTACCAAGTGGTCAGTCCAAAAATCAAACAGGACTCATCCGAGATTGGGGCTGGGAAGGAGAGCGAGTGGAGCAAATAAAATTGCAGTTGTTGCTCAATGCTAGATAAGCTTATGAACAAATCTGATTACTTGATATCTAATCTGCTAGCTTCAATAGGTCACCCTCCATTACTTGAGAGTAACTTAAATTTACAACTTAAAATTACGATTGGAAATGCTGAGGTCCTGAGCATCTTGATTACTTGCCAAATACTTTATTACAGTAAATGTACTCCTGATCAACTTGACCTTCTCTATTTACCTTCTATCCATTATTTCAAAGTAAAAACAGAAAAGCTATAGCTATGCTGACTTCAGTGACCTCCAATGGCCTAGTGGTAAGGAGTTATGCTAAAGCACAACCTAAAAGCAAGTAGTTTGAATCCACCAGTTGTTCTTTGGGAGAAAGGTAGGTAATCTCCTCCCATGAGTTTGTTGTTGTTGTTGTTAAGCTCTGTTGAGTCAACTACGACTCACAGCAACACTATGCACAATAGCTCTGAAGTTTGCTCTATCCTGAGCCAATCTCACTGTCTCTGACACAGCTATCCTTTATTCCCCCAATTATTATGTCAATCCATCTCATCCAGTGCCTTTCTCTCCTGCTCCATCCCTTGATCCTTCAAAGCATGGTATCCTTCTCCAAATACCAGTCTCTCCTGGCTACATGCCCAAAGTATGTGACACAGAGTCTCAAAATCCTTGCTTGTAAATAGCAGGTTTGTTTTATTTTCTCTAGGACAGACCTATTAGTTCTATTGGCAGTCCATATTATGTTCAATACTCTTCTCCAGTACCACAATTCAAAGTCGTTAATTCTTCTGTAATCTTCGGTCATTGTCCAGCTCTCTAATGCATAACAAATAATTGCAAAGACCATGGTGGATCAGGTGCACCTTAGTCTCTAGGCTGAAATTCTTGCTCTTCAGCACTCTGGAGAGGTCCCTGACAACAGATTTTCATCTTTTGATTTTCTGGCTGCTCATATCCAAGAGTATTGATTGTGAAACGGAACAAGCTGCAATTGTTAACAATCTCATGATTCTGCCAACTGGCCTAGTTTTCTTGCCTCTGAAAACCCAGTGAAGGGTCAGCTATTAGTCAGTTCTGACTCAACACCACTAAGTTGTTAAGGTGATGATGCTGACTTCAACTGCCAATAGTTTGAGCTGCAGATTTGACCTCAAAAATCAGATATGAAAAGTAAATATACTTTCAATATATCAAGGATTTTTACATGGGAAAAAATCATAAATACTACAACACAAAGCACTAGTCTTTTATATGTGATTCCTATTACACTCAGCTTTGTCAAATACAAAGAAAGAAAAGTTGAGAAGTTTCCATCAATATTTTGGAAAAAGAAAGAATGAAATGTTTGAAGCTAAGTGGCTAGTGTTAGCATCTTGCTCTGACAATTTTCTATCTGTGTTGCTTTGAACACATACTTGGTCTCTCATAGACCCCTCTTCTTCATTAAGCAACATGTGAATCTTAATACGTATCTTATAGTATTACTATGAGAGTTAAATCAGATAGCATATGTGGAAATTATTAAATAGAGCAAGCAATGAAATAGGATTAGTGCATGTATATTGGTCATCATCATCATTATAACCATCACCATTGCTTTTCTTCATTTAAGAAGTCATAATGCCAATACACGTTCAGTCCTAAATTAGGTACTCTAATAGATCAGGAGATCGTCCCATTATAAAGCATCATATTTTAATTAAGACATTTTCTAATTCACTGGAGCATTATCTCTAATGCTCAGAGGACACTGCTTTTACATTGACTAATACAATTCAAGCACTCAAAGCACTTAGCTCCCAAGGAGACTGTCTAGAAATCGTAACATCAGCACCTAAGAATAATTAAATGAATGAGCTTCAGCAGCCTGAGGCTTCCTGATGTTGCCACAAGGCTGCCGTTTGATGTGTAAATTCACCTGAGCCTCATTGTCACTCTTTGATACTTAGAGAAAGAGCAGTGTTGAAAGGGGCTTAGAGGGTCACCATCTAATGCAACCTCTTACTCAGTACAGAAGCCATTGCAAAATTGTCTCTGAAACAGGAGTACTGAATAATTTAGGAGGGAATAAATTTTGCATTCTCATTGAGTACATTTATCTAGGCTAAGCTGCCCAAGTGTTGGTTTTGGTTTGGGTTTTTTTTGTTTTTGTTTTTGTTTTTAATTTCTATGTTCAGTTTTATTTTATTTTGTTTTGTAATTTTTTTTAATTTTAATAATTTTAATGAACATTTCCAGAGATTTTTTTTATTTCCATTCATTCATTGCTGCACTTCTCTCCCTTCCCAGCCCTCCCCCAACCGAAGTTCACTCCTCTCTTTGAAAAGTAAAACTCCCTCCCTGGTATACAATCCTCCTGCACCCCTCCCACCACCCCAAGTACATTCCACTATGCAACCTTAATTGTGGACTCCTGTGATAACCATAGAACCCTATCATACATCGCTTCCAAATTATTCTCTCCCTCATCTGTTTCAGTGCAGTACACACAATTTAACCAGTTTTTCTCAGTCTTACCCCAACCCTGATATCCGTCCCATTTTACAGCAGTGGCATCATGCAGTATTTGTCCTTTTGTGACTGAGATATTTCACTCAGTATAATGTCCTCCAGGCTCACCCATTTTGAATAATATTGCATAAGTTCCTTGTTTCCAAATGAAGAGTAGTATTCCATTGTGTGAATATACCACAGCTTCTCTATCCATTCGTTTGTTGATGGGCACCTGGGTTGTTTCCAACTCCTTGCTACTGTGAAAAAAGCTGCGATAAACATGGGTGTGAATACATCTGCTTGGATGTCAGTTATGGTCTCTTTGGCATATATTCCCAGTAGTGGAATTGCTGGGTCAAATGGTATCTCTATTTGTAACTTTTTGAGAAAGCACCATACCGCCTTCCACAGTGGTTGCACCATTTTACACCAACAGTGAATAAGGGTTCCCGTTTCTCCACAACCTCACCAGCACTTGTTGCCTGCTGGTCTGTTAAATTTTGCTATTCTAACTGGAGTGAGATGATATCTCATAGTTGTTTTGATTTGATCTGGTTTTTGTTGTTGGGTTGTTTTGTTTGTTTGTTTGTTTGTTTTAATTGAATCTGCTTTATAAAAACTCCCTGATAAATAAAATTAAAAAAAAAAAAACAAAAACTCTCTGAAGAAAGACATTTTTTTATGAAAGAGTGAAAAGAAATTAGACCTCAAAGAAAGCAAGTTAGGGGAGCAGAGGAAGAAAATCTATGCATCTGCTGTTTTGAATTTTATAATATTTACATCTTTTCATTGTTTTATATACAAGCGTATAAGGACCCCTGATGGCATAGTATGATGTGTGTTGGCTACTAACCCAAAGGTTAGAGGATCAAGTCCATGAGTGACTCAAAAAAAAAGGATAGGCAATCTCCTCCTATAAAGATTTACAGAAACCTGATGGAA